AATTCATGAATTGCTTCCCTTGAACATGTACAGTACATAGTATTTCTCATCCTTAAAATTTAAAATAAATTCTTTTTAACAAACCGTCGTCGGCACTTTTGTCATTATTTTTCCTGACCAGCAGACTCCACCATTTATATATATATATATATATATATATATATATATATATATATATATATATAGATAGATAGATAGATAGATAGATAGATAGATAGATAGATAGATAGATAGATAGATAGATAGATAGATAGATAGATAGATAGATAGATAGATAGATAGATAGATAGATAGATAGATAGATAGATAGATAGATAGATATGTATTACTTTTTCCTTTTTTTGTACCGTCTCCTGTAGATGAGTATTTTATGAAGCCATATCTAATAATTTATTTTTACCAACCATCCTCTCTGGATGAGTAGCCTATTTTATTTGGGCATATTTATATCATTTTGTTACTTTTTTTTTACCAACGGTCTGCTCTAGATGGGTATTTTATTTATTCATATTTTTTTTTTTTTTCAAACCAACCATTTCCTCCAGATGAATATTTTATTTGGGGATATTTATATTATTTTGTCTTTTTGTTTTTAACCAATGGTCTGCTCTAGATGGGTATTTTATTTATTCATATTTTTTTTTTTTTTCAAACCAACCATTTCCTCCAGATGAATATTTTATTTGGGGATATTTATATTATTTTGTCTTTTTGTTTTTAACCAATGGTCTGCTCTAGATGGGTATTTTATTTTTTCATATTTAATTTTATTTTTAAACAACTGTCTCCTCTAGATGTGCATTTTCTTCAGGAATATTTAATTATTTTTTACTGTCTCCTCTAAATGATTATGTTTTATTTAAGAATATTTATTTCGGAATATTAAATTTATATACAAACCGTCTCCTCTAAACGAGTATTTTTTTGAGGCATTTAAAATAATTCTTCATTACCAACCGTCTCCCTTAAATGACTATTTTTTTTCGACATGTTTAATTTTTTTTACCAAGTCTCCTCTAGATGTGCATTTTCTTTATATATTTAAAAATTTATTATTTTTTTTAACCAAATGTCTCCTTTAGATGAGTATATCATTTAGGCTTATTTAATTTATTTTACCAAACGTCTCCTGTAAAAAAGTTTTATTTAGGCATATTTATTTTTATTTTTACCAAACGTCTCCCCTAAATAACTATTTTATCTAGATCTAGGCATATTTAATTAATTATTTTTTACTAACCGTTTCCTAAAGATGTGTATTTTATGAAGGAATATTTAATTTTTTTTTACCAACCGTCTCCTCATGAGGAGTATTATACTTTTAAGCATATTTAATTTTTGTTCTACCAACCGTCCCCTTTAGAATAGTATTTTGTTAAAGTATATTTTTTAAATATTTTTTTTTACCAACCATCTCCTCTAGATGTGTATTATATTTAGGAATATTAATTAATTTTTTTTATTTTGGGTGGGCATATGTAATTATTTTTTTACCAACGGTCTCCTCCAGATGTGTATAGTTTTTTGGCATATTTCTTCTTTTTTTTTACCGTCTCCTCTAGATAAGTATTTTATCAGGGAACTTTTATTTATTTTTAGCGTCTTCTGTAGACGATTATTCTATTTAGGAATATTTAATTTTCGTTTTACCAACTGTCCCCTTTAGATGAGTATTTCGTTTAAGTATATTTTTAAAATATTTTCTTTTACCACTGGTACCTCTACATGACAATTATATGTAGGAATTTCTTTTTTAACAACCGTCTCCTCTAGATGGAGTCAGTTATTTTAAAAAATAATTAAATCTACCTAAATAAAATGCTCATCTAAAAGGGACGCTTGGTAAAACAAAATTAAACAAGCCTAAATAAAATACACATGAAGAGGAGACATTTGGTTAAAAAAATGCCTAAAAAAATACACATGTAGAGGAGACTGTCGTTAACCAAAAAAAAATTAAATAAGCCTAAATAAAATACTCATCTAGAGGAAACAGTTGGTTAAAAAAATAATTAAATATGCCTTTTAAAAAATACACATATTCTAGAAGAAACCATTGGTAAAAGAAAATTAAACAAGTCTAAATAAAATACTCATTTAGAGGAGGCGGTTGGTAAAAAAAACACAATTCCTACATAAAATACTCATCTAGATCTAAGAGTCAGTTGCTAAAAAAAAATGTTTAATATACCTAAATAAAATACTCACACACAGGGGACGGTTGGTAAATAAAATTATAAATATGCCTAAATAAAATACACGTCTAGAGGAGAGGGGTGGTAAAAAATAAATAAACATTTTTACATAAAATACACATCTAGAGGAGAGGGGTGGTAAAAAATAAAATAATTATTCCTAAATAAAATACTCATCTTATACACTCTAGAGGGGATGGGAAAAACAAAATTTAATATTCCTGAATAAAATACTCATCTAGAGGTGACAGTAAAAAATAAATTAAATATTCCTAAATAAAATTTAAATACTCATCTAGAGGAGACGGTTAGTAAAAAAAAAAGTAATATTTCTACATCAAATAGACATCAAGTCTAGAGGCAGAGGAGATGGTAAAAATAAATATATATTCCTAAATAAAATACACATCTAGAGGGGACAGTTGATAAAAAAAAAAATTAAATATGCCTAAATAAAATAACCATTTAGAGGAGACATTTGGAAAAATATATTAAATATGCTTAAATAAAATACCTCGTTTACAGGAAATGGTTGGTAAAATAAATAAATTATTCCAATATAGAATAATAATCAAGAGGAGACGGTCATTTTAAAAAAATAATGTAATAAGTAAGCCTAAATAAACTACTCATCTAGAGGAGACGGTCATTAAAAAAAATAATTTAATAAGTATGCCTAAATAAACTACTCATCTAGAGGAGACGGTCATTTTAAAAAAATAATTTAATAAGTATTCCTAAATAAACTACTCATCTAGAGGAGACGGTCATTTTAAAAAAATAATTTAATAAGTATGCCTAAATAAACTACTCATCTAGAGGAGACGGTCATTAAAAAAAAATAATTTAATAAGTATGCCTAAATAAACTACTCATCTAGAGGAGACGGTCATTTTAAAAAAATAATTTAATAAGTATGCCTAAATAAACTACTCATCTAGAGGAGACGGTCATTTAAAAAAATAATGTAATAAGTATGCCTAAATAAACTACTCATCTAGAGGAGACGGTCATTTAAAAAAATAATTTAATAAGTATGCCTAAATAAACTACTCATCTAGAGGAGACGGTCATTTTAAAAAAATAATTTAATAAGTATTCCTAAATAAACTACTCATCTAGAGGAGACGGTCATTTTAAAAAAATAATTTAATAAGTATGCCTAAATAAACTACTCATCTAGAGGAGACGGTCATTTAAAAAAATAATTTAATAAGTAAGCCTAAATAAACTACTCATCTAGAGGAGACGGTCATTTAAAAAAAAAAATTCAATATATGCATACTAAAAAAATAATCATCTAGAGGGGACGTGTGTATATTATTTAAACATATTTAATTTTCTTTTACCAACCATGCTGTCTATTCTATTTAGGCATATTTAATTTTTTTACCAACCGTCACCTCTAGAAGTGTATATTTTTAGGAATAAAATTTTTTTGTAACCAACTCTTCTACTTCTAGACTAGACGTGTATTTTATGTAGGAATATTTAATTATTATTTACCACCCCTATCCTCTAGATGTGTATTTTATTTAGGCATATTTATTTTTTTTACCAACCGTCCCCTTTATATCAGTATTTTATTTAGGTACATGAAAAAAAATTTCCAGCAAAGGACTCCTCTAGACGAGTATTTTACGTTGGAGTCTTTTTTTTACCAACCATCTCTTCTAGATGAGTATTTTATTACGGCTTATTTCATTTTTTTTTTCCAACAGTCTCCTCTAAATATGTATTTTTTAGGCGTATTTTTTTTTTACCAACCGTTCCTCTAGAGGTGTACAGAATCTAGGCATATTTCAATTTCTTTTACCGTCTCCTCTAGATGAGGTTGTTTCTTTTACCGCCTCCTACTCCAAATGACTATTTTATTTAGTTTTTACCGTCTCCTACTCCAAATGACTATTTTATTTAGTTTTTACCGTCTCCTACTCCAAATGACTATTTTATTTAGTTTTTACCGTCTCCTACTCCAAATGACTATTTTATTTAGTTTTTACCGTCTCCTACTCCAAATGACTATTTTATTTAGTTTTTACCGTCTCCTACTCCAAATGACTATTTTATTTAGTTTTTACCGTCTCCTACTCCTAATGACTATTTTATTGAGGCATATTAAAATAATTAAATTTGTCTTTGATCATGATGCTCACCGTCCAGGTACATGGATGTAAAAATTTCCCTTCGTCCAGGATTACCTGGCGGCGAGTCTCGCGGATCAGAGCGTGGGTTCACAGGAAGTGACAGCGTGTTTGTGGGTTCACAGGAAGTGACAGCGTGTTTGTGGGTTCACAGGAAGTGACAGCGTGTTTGTGGGTTCACAGGAAGTGACAGCGTGTTTGTACATCGAAATCACAAAAGATGTCATGTGACAAAAGTCTGCTTTTTGTATATTTCTGTGTAAATGGTCTATAGTTTTTTAAACAAGGCATATTAATTATATCACAGAAGTATAGGTTTGAGTTTTTTTAGTTTTAGTAAGAGTTTTACGGCACTTGCAACACAATAAGGTCAAATAAGTGCCAAAGAATAGAGATGTTACAAGAGGGTAACAAACACAAAAAGGAGGAGAGATAAGGACGATAGATGTTTGATAGGAAAGAAGGAGCAAACCACACCAGAGCACCCGCAAACCACCCACGTAAAATATCAGACAGATTCCTGAACAGTTGCTGGCACAGAACAACAACAAAAGCCTGCCTCGTCCAAGTGCGTGACTTACAGACAAACATCTCAGACAAAACTGCCAGAACAGATCACAGTGAGAAACTCCAAGAACATACAAGAGCAGCAAACAATTCATGAATTAAAATAAACAAAATTTATTCACATTTGACAAGAAACATGGCAATCAACAACGATATAAATATCTCGTGAGAGTTTCAATTTCCAATGGTTCACAGGTAACGTTGTTTTTATTTCCCGACTAGTAGGCTACTAACGACAATACAGTACAACACGGATAGGTCCAACACAGGAGACTCGAAATCACGCATCCGTCCAACTGTGCCTGCTGTCCCGTTTAAAAAAAAAAAAATCTTTGTAAGATATCCCTGGAACTACCGAGGCCAGTCCCGGCGTATTCGAGCTCTCCGTGTTATACTGTATCTTCATCATGACAACTTTTTCCACAACTATCAAAGCTAAACACACAGCTGGTTCTTCAACCTGGTGACTTTACATTTCTCCAGTGTCTCTTTCGTAACTTCCACAAATTCAAAGTTGTCCTCCGAGGAAGCAGACTCGGAATCTGACGAACGTTCCCTTTTCCCCATGCCACTCAGTTTTTCTCTATCTGAGCGCGTCCTCTTTTGAGGCGGCAAGTTTTGTCTGTCTGTCTCTGGCTCGGACGAGCTTCCACGATGATCCCCTCCCAAACCTCCAGTAGGAGAATTTGAATTTGACTTGTTCTTTCTCTTAGATGCACTATCGTGGTGGTTTTTCTTGCCATTCCGGGCGGACGTGTCATTTCTAGCAGATCTGCGAGCACTCTCCCGTTTTTCCGAGGACAAACATTCGTTCCTCTCAGTAGGTGGAGAATTAGACCGACGACACAGGGACTTCCTGACTGGAGATCTGGAGACAGACCGGGAAATGTGTCCACGTCTGCCGCGCCTGTCATTTCTCTGGGGAGAAGACTCTCTGGATCTCGACCTTGACCTACTCCTCTTCCTCTCACCCTGCCTTGACCTTGATCCCGACCTTGACCTACTCCTCCTCCTCTCTCCCTGCCTTGACTTCGATTTCGATCTTGACCTACTTCTCATCCCATCTCGCCTTGACTTTGATCTCGATCGCCTATGCGAGGACCTCGAGGAATACCTGCTGGGTGAGCGGGACCTGGAGCGACGCCGCGACTGAGACGAGCGACTCGACTGTGGGGACCTGGCTCTCGAGCCGTGCCTGTAGTAGTGCTGCGACTGTCGCTGGGAGTAGCCGCGACCCCCGGGGGTCGAGTGGTGGTGCGACTGGCGATCGGTCGGCGGCTTCCAGTCCACGTCCATCCTGTGGAACTCCCCGCCGGGGTTTCGGAACACGTGCAGGAAGTTGCACGACTTTCCCTTGGGGCATTTTTTGGAGAACGCCAAACCTGACAGAGGAGGACAAGAAAAGAAAAAGAAAATGAGTCACGACGCGGAGGAATCAGGCGCTCATCAATTTTGGAGCATAGGAAGTTATTCATATATGAACTTAAAGTTTTTTTCATTTGCCTTACTTTTGATGAAAGAAATACCCATCTATCTTAAATACAAATCGAGATATTTGCGATTGAAGCAGGTGAGGGTCGCCTTGTTGCAGAGGTAAAGTTAGTGAGAAAATGCCCGCCAAAATTTGTTGACTATAAATTTACATTTTCTTTGCCTTAAATCAACATTTTCGAGGAAAAACACCTAGCAATGTATTTTTTAATGGACATAAAAGGTGATGAGCCAAAAAATAAAATTTTTACCAAAATGGCAAAAGGGAGGAAAAAATGCTGTTTTCTTCAATTTCCTTATTTTGACGAGCGCCCGATTTCACCACGATGCCTCACAGATGAGCATCTGTTATCTTACTTCATGGAAAAACTCTGGTGTCTTCTATACTAACCAGTAAGATGAAAAAATAAAAGTTGCCACAAATCCACCTTAATATATCAGGGGAAATTAATTTTACCTTTATAAAAAAAAAAATTTTCTCATCGGCTTTGTTGAGATGAAGTTTGTGGCAAGTCAACAAGACAGAGGAAGTCAACAAGACAAAGGAAGTCAACAAGACAGAGGAAGTCAACAAGACAGAGGAAGTCAACAAGACAGAGGAAGTCAACAAGACAAGACAAAGGCCCCATTTCTCCACATCCTCCAAACACGTTGACCCATCATATCAACAGAAAATCACACTGAAATAAATTTTTCATCCCATCTCTTCCAAGGGGTGAGCTTCCCTCCTGTCAACACTGCTCCCTTCCACTTAACCTTATCAGTATGTCGTGTTTTACAATTGTATCCATACGACGTGGGGAATTCTGTGCCATCACTTTCTAAAGACGAAATTTACTTGTTAATCCGATCCATACGCTTTGCATAGCAGTCTGTCAAAATGATTTTTTGAGAAATACTGACAGTTTCACAGAGATCTTCGTACTAGAAGTATTCTAAAATGAGAAGAATACAATCCCGGGGGTACAAAATGATCACAAGGCGTACAGTTAGGGTTAAGCTGGTTAGCCGGGACATGAGTCTCAAGTCTCCGTGTCAGCAGACGACTCGCTGACTACACCTGACTCACCACACACGTACACTCACCACAAATAGCTGCTTTCCACGACTCGATGTTGACGAAGACACAGGTGAGCTGACGACCCCCGTACCAGCGAGCGTTGAACTTCTGGAATGCTTCTTGAGCTGCCGTCTCCCTGTGCGAGAAAACAACATCTTTTAGTAAAAGTTTTACGGCACTTGCAACACAATTAGGTCATATAAGTGCCGAAGATTAGAGGTGTTACAAGAGAGTAACAAACATTTTTAAAAAGGAGCAGGAGGTTCAACTTCCAACAGCCGCGAATGTTTCCACATATTCAAGGCCCGTCCCTATTGTCTGGGAGGTCAAGGTCAGCCCGCTGGTCAGTTCTAGTTGTCTTCATCACCGCTGTCTGACTCATGACGATGACAATCTTTATATCTCACAGGGAGAAATTTGTCTTGTTTGTTTACAATGGCAGTAGATGTTACAAAGGTTAGGTGCACTCACGCATACATATTTTAGAGGCTGAAACAACCCGCTCAGTAAAACATTCTCTCTCTCTCTCTCTCTCTCTCCCCCCTCTCACCTCTTATACGGCACGTAGACGTTCCCCCGTAGGTGCAGCTCACAGTTACAGCAGACCTCCCTCCCT